TGAGGTTGTCTGTCACTGGAGCACCTGTTGGCTGCGTTTGCTTTGCATGTCCACCAAGTGGACTTCCAGTCCTTTTCCTCCAAGAGAACCAGTCAAGATTGTCAAGGTTGAGGGCCTTCATGCTTCTGCTCCTTTCCGTCACTTCATTTAGAATGCGTCATAAGAAATGGTACTTCATAGTAATGTCCTTTTGGGTGGCTTTAGTATCTTCTAGGGTAATAGTTAATCCTGTGACTGTCCACACCCTCCCTCCCCCCAGGATATTAAAACAACATGTGCAGATGCTTTATGTGCCCACTTTAGGGCCACTGATTGTGTTGGCAGGTGGTGGCCCTGAAGTGGGTACATAAAGCATGTGAGGAAATTGTTTAAGGCTATGTGTCTGGAGCAGGGGAGAGTGTGGGCAGGGCTGGCAAGAGACCCTGGGAACCATCCTGCTGACCTTTACCCTCATCCTGAGAGTAAAGGGAAGGCTTTGGAAATTTTTTCTTTTTGTTTTTTTCGTTTGTATCAGATTTGCCTTTAAAAATAGCATTCTTGGAAATTGGACCTCGTATTTGTCCAGCAATAGCAGGGTGGGGGACTTGTTAATCTTGTTTCCATGGATTGATTGAGGTAAAAGGCTGAGTACATGGGAGGTAAGAAAATGTGTGAAGAGACCACTTTGAAAAAGCTTATTGTCTAGAGAGAAAAAAATTACTTGATTCATTGTTAACTCCAGTTCTCCAGAAACCTTTGTGTTCCCCCCTTTCTCTTTTGTCGCAGCCTGGTTCCCAGGGTTGTCCATTTCTGTTGGGTGTAGGTGAGTACTTACTCTGGGATTCCTCCCCATGACCTCAAACCCTACTCAAACTCACCAGGTCAGATTCTACCTTGATGAGTGGTGCTCCCATACCTGGTTTATTACCCACCCTCACCCTCCACTTTTCCAGCCATCCCTACAAAGTGCCTTAAACTTGTGACCTTCAGATACTTTTTTTTTTTTGCAGTTTTTGGCTAGGCTAGGGCTGGGTTTGAACCCACCTCCTCTGGCATATGGGGCAGCGCCCTACTCCTTTGAGCCATGGGTGCCA